TATTTAGCCCACGTGACCATAGTGGACCAATCACAAGCCAATTCATAGCGATAGGACAAATTTCAATCACAATAAAAAGAAAACTCTTGAACATAAGAAATGGATGCGACAAATCGAAACTTACACCGAGGGACAAAGTAACAATTTTTGCAAGCATGAATTAAGCTAAAAAGGGTGTCCTAGGATACATTTAAGCTGTCGTGACATATCAGTATGTGTTGTTTCCGTTCATTCTCCTTTAGTGGTGTTATTATGTTATAAAGAGGATGAAAAAGTTTCCACATCGTAATGAGTTATTTGGTGAGAATAAGACGCACCTGAAAAAAGTGGGCTTAGCTTTCTCCACACTTTAACTGGGCCTGCTTGAAGAATCTGACCAATACTGAGCTCCATAAAGAACAACGGAATACCACCCAAGATAAGAAATGATATATATGGGATAAGGAATGCGCCTGAATAGAAACAGAAAGTTAGATCGTGTGTTAACCTCCATTTACACAAGCACGGTCAATATACAAGAGCAAGAAATCTGCTCTCAGTTACAAATTGGAAAACTTGGCAACGTTTCCTTGACAAGTCTCCCCATTCAAGCACTTGTAGAGGAAAAATCGTTAGCTATTTACATGGCCGAGAAAATTTGTTTGTGTGAAAGGAACTTTAACAGCAACAAAAAAACGAAACAGTCAACCAAGTTAAATCCAACTTGTGTTTCAAGCTTTCTTCATCTTCCATTAAAGCCTTACTAAAAAAAGAGCAACCTTTGCAGCAGTCGAAGAAACACAATAGCCAAACAATAATACCTCTTCTCTAAAATTTGCTATGTGTTCAGTTCACCTTTCGTGCGTCAGTTCCAAAGCTCTAGCTAATCTCTCCAGGCTGAAGGGCGTTTCCCTTCTTGATGTACAAGTTGAACTGGTTGTGGTCTCAATTCGAACCAGTTAATTTTTCCCTGGGCTTGGAAATAATGAAATTTTCCCGCGGTTGGCAATGGTTGCATGTTTCCGATTTCTAAGAACTGGTTCCACCTTCTCATGCACTAAGCAACTCTCACATAGTTTCCGTTTTGAAAGATACCTAACTGTGAAAATTGGTGTAACGTTTTTCCAACTATGTTAACTTACCTCCACCGTTTTTGAAACACATATAAGGAAAGCGCCAGAAGTTGCCATAACCGACCGCAAATCCAATACAAGCAAAAACGAATTCAATTTGTCTTCCCCAGTGCTCTCTTTCAGCAGGCTCTGGTCTAATCATTCCAACAAAGAATCACCAATAGCTACAATAGTTCGGTCACAGCCCTACCACGCAGGTTAAGAACCCTGCGTTGAAAATACAGCCTTGCTGAAAAAAAGCGTTTTTTAACAAAAAATGCGTTCGTTATTATTGCTTTCAATGGGAAAGTCTCCGCGGTAGTATCCAAAAATTAAACTTACCGTTCGAAAATTACTTGGTATTGAAGTTATCAAGAATCTTCAGATGCAAAGATAAGATAAGTCTCCTTGCTGTTAGAACTATTATGGTCATCGGGTAAATCTTCTATAGCAGTTTGTTTATGCCGGAATTACAAAATACGAAGCTTAGCAAACATCCTCACTACTGAGGAAGACCGTGTGACGAAACAATTACTTACCGCGCGCGTTACCATGGTTTCAGTCTCTTCCTTCTCATCGTGTGCTTCACGTGATTTTATGTTTTGCTTGTTGTTGTTTTTTTTATCTACGTCGTGAAACTATTTTACGTTTTCTTGTGAGCTATTTAAAACTGATTATCCTGTTTAAACAAAAATAGACATGATGCATGATATGTGTCTATGTATAATCAAAGTATAAACGTACCTATAAATCTTAACTTATCTGAATTACAGTCGAAGCTCTCTACAACAGCCACCTTGGGGACAGAAGAAAGTGGCCGTTGTGGAGAGATGGCCGTTATCGGGAGGTGGTTGGAGGGGTTCATTATGACACCTGCTGTGCTGTTTTCTTTTTTTTTGGGGGGGGGGTGGTGGGTGAAGTACAACATGTTTATTTTCCAGGTCCATGCTTACTGTACCCTACAATGGCAATCCAATCATAAATGATCATAAATTTAACGATAATTCCACGAGTGCGCGTTGGATATGAGATGGTAGACAGCCAACTATAATCATCTCATATCCAACAAGCGCGAGTGGAATAATTGTTTTATTAAAAACCCGCACAAAATATCAGGAATTCTTATTTGTAAAAACAGCTATTTTTCAGCCTGTTTTTAATTTTGAGCAGACGCGTACAGTTACCATATTTGGAGATCATGGTATAATGGCTCATATACCATGATGGCTAAGCTAATCAGGGCTCTAGAATTGCATTATCCAATGATTCAGTTTTTAATAATACAGATAGGAGACACAATGAAACTTGATGAAGTATCGAGCTGCTCGTCAAATTTTTGTGCGACCTGCACTGATGCCGTGCTCAAGATGTCGCTCCAACCAAGTCGAAAATAAAAACACGAAAGATAAAAAAAAACAACAATAAACAAATAAGACTGCGGCTACAAACGATAATTTTGCCCATTTTTATTTATTTATCGACGCGTTTCCTTGGGGAAGGTGACTTTCACGCGCGCGCTTGTATTCGCCAGAATCGCCAAATCTAGCGACTACTCCTTTTGTAGCGTAAGAACCATTAAAAATAAAATTTACCAAAAAAACATAACAGTTCTTACTCTCGGCCTGAGGTATATTCTAAGAAAAAAGTACTATAATTACATTTAATGTTAGATTAATCTTAAATTAATTGAAAGACGCAGTCCTGCGGTAAATCAAGGACACGCCATACGGATCAAAGTCGTTGTATAGAGGTCTAAAGAAGAGTCAATGTATGGACTGTCCGCCGGGACAAAAAAAAGTGGCCGTTGGTGAAGGTTCGACTGTAAGTCAGCGTACGACACGTTCTGTGCAAAATTGACTAAAATAATGAACAACGACAATAAAGGGTGGGTTTGGCGATGGAAATTCACATAGATTTGTTGTTGTTGTTTTACATGGGAAGGTACAGTCATAAGTTAAACCTCTAAGGAAAAACTAAGACGCGTGGTAACCATAGTAACGAGGTCAAGGTAAAAGGGGAAATCGAGCGCGTAATAATCATATCGAAATTCTAACAAACAAAAGTATTTTTGTTTGAAACGCCTTTTAGTCTGATCTCATCGCAGTTACTCAAAAATCGTTCTCGATTCACAATATATAAGGCCTGTATAAGGCAATTCATTTTTGTTGAAGTTTCTGTTGACTTCTTGCCAGAAACAGCAATGATGGAGGTTATAAGCAATGTGTAATAACTTCCAAATTATCTTACACAGTTTTCAAGAATCAAATGCATGCATTACAAATTTGATTTTTAAGCTAAAAAAATAAATCCTACATTTGTAAATGAAAATCACAATTAGTTCTTTCAAATATGGAATTCTTAAAAGCGTACATATCTGACGCGATTATTATACTTTTTTGGTATGCCTAAACGTAAATAAACTATCACCGGTTAATACGAATTTAAAAGTTGTAAGAACTGGTGACACGCCTGAGAAAGCAGCCTACATTTAGCGAGGCCACCACAGGTTTTCCCGCGAAATGACATCAGAGCAACGTACGGAGAAATTCCATACTGATGACACGTCACTACCCAGATCTGGGAAGTGCTCTGATTGGCTCATAATTTACTTCACCCAATCAGAAGCACTACCCAGATCTGGGTAGTAACACGTCATCAGTATGGAATTTCTCCGCGCGTTTCTCTGACGTCATCTCGCGGGGAAACCAGTGGTGGCGTAGCCAAATGTTAACTGTTTTCTCTCTTTGTAAATTTTCAAGTTTTCACATCAATATTACGGAAAGATAGTATATGGTATGTTGGGTTCTCAACCTATGCTAATGAAGCAAATTGGTCAACAAAGATTCGCCTTTACTCTTCATACATCTGAAAAATCTAGCGATTATTCTTTGAAATCGAGGTGAAAAGCGGAAGTAGATCCCCAAAGCCGCTATTGACACGAGGCGACCTCGACAGCATCAGAGGGAACCACTGATTTTTATGCGTGAAAAATAAATTCGCATATAGGAATGAACAGTACATGCGCAAAACTCATATCTTTACAGAATTTCCATAGCAAACCATAGTTGACCGTAGTTAAGTTGGATTAGAAACGCCTGGTGTAGACAAGACGCTTTCAAAGCGTATACTTGGGCTTTGGTATGTCTTTTGAGCCCTCCTCCATTTAGTTCAAGGAAAATATATCGGCCTTAATGGCCTTGGCACTTAAAATTTGCATAAGCTGTGAGCAAGCTTTCTAATCTAACTGTTTGTAGGTTAAAACACACTCGGCGTTCGTCACTTAACATGCTCAGCAAAGCTCTGTATGGGCCCTTTGCAGAATACGGTCACATGGTACAAAAACACCTTTCTGGATAACAAACGACGCAGAGGGACAAGAAAAACAAAGAGATTACTTCATTAAAAGAGCTATTATCCTTTACTTTCAAGGTTCGATTGCATCGTTAGCCATTTAGGGAGGTGCTTTTTGTACCACGTAACCGTATTCCATATTCCATTCGAATCTAGGATGTTGCAGTCACTCAGCGGCACGTGGTGTAAACTCATTAGCGATTGTCTTGTTCTCGGATTTTGGCTAAATGTCGTAGAATGCTTGTAGACTTGTTAAGTTAAGTGAATCAAAACTTCTCTCCGTCAAACACAGCTCTGACACATCAAGCTGGCTTATCATTCAAAAAGACGTACGTTACACCAAGAGAGAGACGCTTTGCCTTCTTGCTGAATTCTTAGGAAATTCATGCTCAAAATATCAATCTGATCAACAAAATATTAATAATAGCTCGTATAGATTAGCGACATTGCGTAACCCAAGATGTCTAACACTTGAGATGCGCAATATTTTTACCACTTTTTAGGCTATTAAAAGATTTCCCCTTTCGATTTTCGCTTAAAACGCTGGTGTTTTAAGATTTAAACAGCGGAGTGAACCACAACCACGTTTTTCTGCTGTTTGGATTTGTTTTCATTCACATCCTCGGCTTGCCTTCTACTTCCGTTTCCGCTTTTGATGGAACAGGTTCTAACTGAAGAAGTTTTCTTGAGGCTGTTGTCCCCAGTAACGGTTCTTCCAGAAGTGCTCCTCCTACTACTGGATCTGTATGAGGATAATCTGCTCCAGATCGGCGGTTGCCGCACCTTGCAGAGCAGTCGATGCCCAATGTGGCGAATGGTTCGGATCATTTCGTTATTCCGACATGCATACACGAGCGGATTGAGCGCGCTGTTGCTATAGTGACAGAACTTGACGAACTGAAGGACGCGGTCGGTTCCCAGTGAGGGAGGGAGATATTGCGGATAGTATGTGCCAATCACCGTGACGACAAACAGCGGTAACCAGGCAACCATAAATAATCCGGTGATAACAGCAAGAGTTACCGACAAGCGGAGATCCTTCTTGAAAGCCTTCCTTTCCGATCTATGCTTAGCAATTGGTTTGCAGCGCGCAAAGCAGTATATTGATAAATATGCAACACAAATTATGCTAAAGGGGACAAAAAAGCAGGCCGTGGTCATAAGAAGCGTATATTCCTCTCTCCAACGGTTATACTGAAGTGGCTGCAGAGTCGCCACAGTGGCCGCAAAAGTCCACGGAATTATTATCAAGACGTAGAATACTTTGATTGACAGTGTTCTGTGGCGTAATGGTCTGGCGATTGCGTGACATCTCTCGATGCTGAGAGAGGTGAGTTGAAGTATTGAAGCAGTGCCGATAAAGATATCAAACGTTATGTAAAACTGATAGACGGTGAAGCTAATGGGAAGATGATTGTGGAGAGATATGGTGATATTCAGCCAACAAGGTATCGATACAAAACCCACGAGGATATCGCTTGCAGCCAACCCCATTACCAACTTGTTGGTAGCCGTTCGAAGCCTCTTGTTTACAGTAAACGCAGTCAGCACCAGGCCATTTCCTGATATGATGGAAGTAAGTAGAATGGCATATAGAGTAATCACTACTGCCAGCTCGTTCCACGAAATTTTATCCAAATACATAGTGACGTCGTCCATTTTTGTCTGGTTTGGTTGACTCATTACTCTTTCGGCAGCCGGGCAATTCAGTTGTCAATCAAGACTGTGTTTAATCCTTTAAAAAATAACAGATAGATATAACGGTGAGGAGTTTTAAAACCATCTATAATGATGTTGCTAACACAGGGAACGGGGAGAGGGAAACGATCACGGGGAACTGGAAAATGAAAAATGGGAACAAAACCTAACCTGAACACTAGCCCTATTAGTAACTCCATTTCTACTTATTATCTGCTTTGTTTCCATTTTTTATTTTCCCGTTCTCCGCTCCCCGTTCCCCGTTATACATCCCTAGACGGTCTTCAAACAAGAAATCGAATACAATGTGAATTCTTGTTACTTTATTTCTTCGTAATTCGAGACGTATTTGAGCGAATTTTGTTGAGAAATGGAGGAAACAATACTGATAATAAGATATGACTTTGGGGGTAAATTTTTGAAATTTGTTGAACCAAAACACTAAACAACTGGCCAGGTAACAGATCTCTAGTTCAGGTGTTTAATTTAAACAGGGGATTAGGTTTAACCGCATTGTTGATAAAGGACATTCTGTGGGTCACTTTTATTTCTTCTGTCTCCGTTGTATTTTTGAGTTGTGAACCGAGCAATTGCATGTTATCGCTCAAGCGTTAACTTTTTGTCCTTTGTAAAACCTTGGCCTGGAGAGACTGAATTCTTTTGGGTAGCCACACTTAAAAGGACATCGCTTACGTCAACGTAGCTATATCCTTATCTAAGCTCGAAAACGTCTTGAAGAGCTAGTGATTACTGTCACTAGCTATAGATGACTGTTGCAAAAATCGGCAAATGAGTGGCAGGCAAACCAGATAATTTACACACTAAATATCAGTTGATCCGCCGCTCAGCAGCACAAATCGACGTACAAACAAGTAATCAATTTACAAAATTGAATTTGTGTTGCACACCTTTCTACCTTTCGAATCAAGAGCCTTTACCGTGATAAACACAACCAAAAACTCAAATAGTCTTATAGGCAGCGCCCCTCCTTCCATGGAAAGGTTCCTTTTGAATGCAAACACTACAGGATCTCATCTACTTAATGTTAAAACTACATTGCTCTCTTTGGAAGAAAAACGATTATTCTAAATAATCACAAAAGATGTAAAGACAACTAACGCTTGTGCACAGACCCTCTAAGCAAATGTTTTGTAGCTCGCTCCTTTTAAATTTCGAGCTCAAGTAGATAGCATGGCTGATAACTGTCCGCGAAAAAACAGTCGTTGGTTCAGTTGGTTGCCGGGAGAAAACAACCGATGCCAAGAAACAGTTGGTTTTTCATGGACAGATCTTAATCTTTCTTCTTTCTTCTTTCTGATCTTAATCTTTCTTCTCCGCCATTCTCTCGCCATTCGCCATTCTGTTTTTCACCCTGATTCGCGCCCAATTGTCAAAGGCTTCGTGGAAAAATTACTTTCTGTATAAAGGAAACAATGCTACCACGCGAGCGGAAGAGAATTATTTCGTTTCGATGTGTGTTTCACCTTGGACACCTTGTATTCTCGATCTCCTAATTAATCGGCAAACAGAAAATGGACCGGCACAGAAACACAGCCAGTAAGGAAAAAAAGTGAAAAGAAAATGCTCAAATGGTAATGATATAAGGAATATCACAGTGAGCACTAACCTTACGGCACTTCTTTGTAGCGTGACTTCAGATCGAAGAATTGTGTTTAACAATGAAGTCAATGAATATATTTTGTCTTGTTTGCAATCTGTTTTAATTGATAAGCTTACTCAATATCAATTATCCAGTGACCATTGATCACGAACTAATAGATCAAGTGATTAGTTTGAAAAACAAAACGACAACAACAGCAAGAAAAAAAACAAAGAAAACAAGAAACCAAAAAAAAAGAAAACTATAATGGTGTCGGCCGGCACACCGAGACTGCACTTTTAAAAGAAATCAGTTTTTGTTTCGATCTGAATGTAGAAGAAACCGTTCAAAAAAAGACTTGTAACAGGCTCCTGCTATTTATCTTGCCAATAAATACATTCTGGCTTACATTTCCAAGATCCTGTTTGCCTTTTTCATTATTTTGTTATTATCTTTTAACCTAAACTGCTTGCGGAAGAAACACTTCCGTCTGCAAGAATTCAGACATAATATATATAATATATATAAAACAAAAAGAAAACGCCGACAATTTTTGTTTCAAACCCATAGGAAAGTTATTGAAAACTCCGTACCGATCTTTAAGTGTTGAAAAAGGTGTTTTCCTGTTTATTTCTATTCATTTATAACGTATGAAAAGAAACAAACAAAGGAAGTCTCCTCTGGGTAATGCAGTAGTTTGGATCACTGGCCTGATCCCAATTCACGTTACCTTGAATTTTTCCGGAATTTTGAAGCGTATTATTAAAACACTCGAACAAGTGTTTCGTCAAGTACTCAAATGGTTTTAAAGTAGCTGGAACTTTTTCTTTGCAATGCGTGCTCTTATTGGCTACCGCTAGATGATAAGGCATTTGAAATTGAATCTGCCTCTATTACTGAGTGTCTGAGCGTCTGGTCCGTGATCGCAGCAAATTTGTACATAGNTTGAAATTGAATCTGCCTCTATTACTGAGTGTCTGAGCGTCTGGTCCGTGATCGCAGCAAATTTGTACATAGAAACAGCTATTCAATGTTTTCCCGACTTTTTTCTTACCCTTATTCTCGACTTTTTCCCCGGCCTCGTTCGCCAGTGATTGTTGCTATAGCGTAGATAGACTTCAACAGTACCTTAATGATGTTTTCCATGTGACCACAACGATCGCTGGCCGTTTATTATTTTTTCCGTTACCTAGAACACAGCCGTATGAAAACCACTCTTTTCTCGCCGGTTTTGTGCTAATTAACACAAAATTATGATATGGTGCCTTTGGCTGCCATAGCTCAGTGTTATTACAGTAAAACCTTCACTCAGAGCTTCGCTTGGTTCCGCATCTTAAACGTCGAAATTATGTACTCAAAAAAATATCTATTATTTTCCTCAAAAATTGTTACTTGCTAGACGAAACGTTCTTTTGATGCACGTAAAGCTATTGAACTTGGTGTTTTGATTAGACATTCGAAATCCTTAGACCTGTTTCAAACGTCCTGCTACTGCTGTTCCGTGTCGCTGACACGACTGTAGCACAACTTGGTCTAAGACGTCGAATATAACTCAGTCGATAAAAATGGCTGTTACAGAAAACAAAACTTGAAAATAATAAAAAGCAATTTAGTGAACTTTTAAAATGTATTTTAATGTATCTATTATTTATGAACTGAGTTCGACACGGCAGTAGCACGACGCTTGAAACAGGCGTTACCAATAAATGACTACAATTCTTAACTTGCGAAAAATAGTATTCAACGGGAGTAAGAAAAATTGCTAACTAATAGTCACTCTGTACAATACTACCATAATACTGCTGTGACGAACCATAAGACAGTGTCCCTTAGAATACGTGTTACCGTTCCCCCAATAGAATAAGTTTGTTGCGTTGGAATGAGCTTTTTTTTATGGGAACTACAATCCTGGTCAAAAGGTTTTGGGATCAGTACTTCCCCCTTTTCACGCGTTTTTGTATGGAATTTGTAGCTACCGGCAATACACACTCATAAACCGGCCCTAACAAGGTTTCTCCCCCACCCCCCTGGACAAAGTTAAGGTCAATAACCTGTGCAAGCTATATAAAAGGCGTTTGACTTGTAACACCTAACACTGTCCGGGGGAGAGGGGTTAATTTGAATTGCATTTTCCTTACATAAAAGACCAAGTGTCCCAAACGTTTTGACCAGAATTGTACTTAACTCACTTGCGGATCCTTACTGATTTGCCTGGAGCATACACTCCTTTTCAGTCTCTTGTGTTGTTACATGTCTCGCTAATTCACTGCAACACCTACTTTTATATCAGCCAGGAAATCATCTGCTTAGTGCAAACTAATTCTGACATAAGTCTTCTCTGATTGGTTGAAATACCCTGATTAGCATGTCACCTTCGAGATAAATACTTTGTCAAAAATGATCTTTCTGTCTGAGTTCTCACTATTAAGCTTAAGTCATCTGGTCAACTCAAAACAAGGAGAGCAATCTAAAAAACAACAAGCTATCTGCTAATATACAAACTTTCCAAAGAACAGAAAAAAAGTACTAAAATTACAGTTTGAAAATTCTGGCTTGTTGTCGATTTCGCAGAGCTGTGAGGCGTCTAGTCGCAAAATGATTGGCTAAAACGTTTCCATAAATAAACTACTTAGTAATATAAATAAGTGATATCGAAAAACCCATTAGGCAAATTAAAAATGTAGCACGCAATTCAAAGCAGAATTTAGAATAAAAGGTGTTCACTTCTAAAAACACCTATAAGATCATTGCCGTCTAATTAAGAGCTATTCACTACCATGAATTCGGTAAAAAAAAGCAAGAAAACACGAAACCTGAATTGATCTGAGAAAACAACAAAAACGATAAAAAATGAGTAAGGTAGTCATTTCCCGGAAAATACCGGTGAAGGGTCAAACCGAGGTCAAAATTGTTAAACTGGGCGATATTCTAAGCACAATCAAGGCTTTGTGATCTGTCGAAAACCTTAATTAAACACTGTTGTATGAATAGTAGTGGTACAGCAGAAATATTAATACTAATTTAGCTGAAAATATAAATGCAAAGAAGGTCATCGCAGTTGCGAAAAGAAAGGCAGAAAAAATTCAGGCTAGCCAGGATTCGAGCCCTGACATCTGCGATGCTGGTACAGCGCTCTAAACAATTGAGCTAGCAAGACAACCAAGAGCTTGCCATTAGATTGGTTCGTAATATCAGGGGCTGATATCAGGGGCGAGAACGCGACTTATTCTGACTGATTCCTTCTTTCCGTGGTTCAAATGTTTGAAATTCTTGTATTCATCATTTAACTAAAAAGTACCCGAGCAGCAAGAAGTATTACTGCGGAGATGCACGAAAATGGGACATCTGCTTTGCACGGAATTCATGTTAAGAGAAACTTTCTATC